GGAGAAAGGGAAGGAAAGAGGGAGGATGGAGACAGAGAGGCCGAGACAGGGACACACGCGCACGCATGCACACACACACACACACACACACACACACACACACACGCATAGAGAGAGAGAGAGAGAAAGAGAGAGGAGGAGATCGGGAAGGAAAGAGATGATTCACTGCTGGTTCAGTTAGCCTTCTTTGATAATATATTATCCACATTATCACACTAACCAAGAATTGTGGTAACACGTAGTATGGAGCAGTGTAGGTACCATAGCAGTAACTATTATGTACTACTAATATGCGTGAAAGAAAGTAAATCGTATTAGATTTGTTGGATAAAACTTTCCGAATTCATGCTGACACAATCACTGTGTGTGTGGCAGGGTTGCATATTGTTAATATTGATTAATTTGGAGATTGATTTTAGTTCATAGTAACTGGAGTGCTGGGAATTCTGACGAAAAATAGGGACAAAAGGCTTGTGAGTATAGTTCATCTGCTTTGAATTTTAGATAATTTCCTATTTATTATGAACCGTACACAATAATCCTTTAATTGAAAAATATAAGTGCTTAATCAAAATGATGATAATTTACTTAGTACATTACGTACCATGTCTATAAGGTTTATGTTTCCACTCCTTGACAGAACAGCATTCTTATTATGAATTTTAATTTGATTAAAATCACTTTATTTTTTATTTATTAATGCATTTAAATCTTTCCAGATCATCGCATATATGATCATGTCTATAATATCAGTTGTTTTTGCTTGGACTGCATTGATAAGTGTATCTGCTGTTGACGTCACTGCGAGTGCCATAGGAAACCAAGTCAGCTTGAGCAACGGTTTTATCACATTTGGATCTTTGATAAATTTCGTATGTGGATTACATGTATTCCTATATTTTGATGACGCAGATAAGCACATTTTTGCTTTAGCCAATTTGTCACATTTTCTTTTGTTGAAATGAAATTACTTTGCCAACCCTCAGACATTTTGAGGAAAAATATCAACTTTGTTTTTAAGATTTATTCAAAAACCTAGGTATGGTCGTTTGCCAAGGCATACTTCTTCACATTTTTGTCAGCACTTGTTGTTATAGCTTTCTTTCCAATTATTTAAACAAAAATCTTATGAATTGTGTATTTGTTGACTATCAAAGGTATTTTACAAATTTTATTTTACAAATTCCTATTTTTATGTTTATTTATCTTAATCTTTTGCCAGGGTTACATCAGCGTTGGACTGTCTGGGTATATGGTTTTCCTGTCCGTTGTAGAGGGGATTATAGCAATTATTGCATCAGCCTTTTGTTGCCATGGCGTCTGTTGCGGTGCTCAGGTTAGTGCATTTTGCATATATGAGTTGGGAAAATTTTAGTTATTTCAAAGGTATTATTTTACATAATTAAACTTCACAGTCCCCAATGACATTGCCTGTTGGCTTAAATAAGACTTCTCCATACTAACTACATAAAGATCTGGATAAACTCGGTGTTAGGCACATGGCTGATTCTGAAAGTGGGTCAAAACTTGACTGTCACATCTAGCAAAATTCGTCCTCAACTTCCTGTCACATCTAACACAATGCACGTTTAACAAAGTTGTGCAACAATGGTGTCACCAAACTGTTGCAGCAATATTATCTTTACAACTGCCCGCATTTCACGTTTCTACAATATTTTTGTACACTGTATGATATTTATCACAACATGTTAAATTATTGTGTAATATTGTATCATACTGTGTTACAGCCTTCCACCCCGGGAACTGTGGCTTATGCAGAACCCAACATTGGACAAAATGCTATGGCTTACGTGGCACCGGCTCAGCAAGGTACTGTGAATAGGATGGTCCGTTCAAATTACACATTTGGTCATTTGCCCAAAGTACCCACTGTATCTTTAGGAATTATTGTTTTCTAGTTGTATTTCCTCACAGAATTTTTGAGATATTTAGAGATAATACCCTTGAGGAATTTACCAGTGTCATTATTCTAGATTTGAAAAAATGAAAAGTGAAAAAAATGACTTTCTTTTAATAATATTAATACCACGCAGTTGAATTTACGTTGAGGAGTTTGTCTCTCTGGCAGACAAGAGATCCATTATCCTGATCACTGAATTATAAACACTTTCAGTACCAAATGTGCACTACCCAGGGGTTGGAGGATACTATCCACAGCACCAACAATGGCCGCAGGGGGGCGCCACGGGACAGATGGATGAACATATGCCACAGAAGCTGTAATGGCCGGAGCATATTTGCCAAAGTTACCAATACATTTTTAGTGTTTGTTGTAGTTGGCTGATGGCCATACGGTGTCTTTCTGCTTCATCTCTTGTGAGTCAATTAGATATATACACGTGTAGGTAGTATAGATGGATAGATAGATAGCTGCTTATCATCAAATGCGCCACTGCTGCGCAAACAGTTTTAGATATATATATAGTATTGTCTGCTAAACCTAAGATATGCCAGCTTGTTCTACGCCCGGCTAATACAGGTGTTGCAAAGAACTCAGATGACGCTTAACTATTGCAATTTTTTATAAGCTGAGATATGTGTAACATTTCCAGGGTCAGAAGTTTTGCTTGCCATTTTGCACTGCGTTTTTCTTTTACTTTTGAGTTGCTGATAGGCAACATTCAACGTAAGTTCTTTTGTGAGTTTAGGGATTGGAGTATGGTGTGGTTTTACTTATACAGAAGAGTGTGTATTTTCATGAGGAACAAGTACATACTTCTAGTCGAGAAACTTCTTTTATGAACAGCTGGTGATGCTTATTTTGAATATTGTAAGTTTAAAATAGAGAAAATATACTTTTGATGAAAATTTTGTTTCCCAAGGAAGTAACATCGGTCAGTTGTAACTTGATCTATTACAATTTAGACTCCAATAAATTTACGACTTTCTGGTGACCAGACCGAATTTTGTGAAACTATATGCCCTGAAGTGTTATGGTGCTTTGCGTATATAGGAGTATACATTTGCATTGTACACTTTCGTGTGGAAGGCAATGCTTTTAATCTGTAAAATGCATTTGATGACCGGTGGTGCCACGGATACCAGGGGTATGACTTACTGGTGAAGTTCATAATACATGACTACAGGGTAAATTAATGTTAAAAATCAGTTCGCCAGAGGCATATCATAGGTTAGTTGTTGCTGGTACGTTTGGATATATATGTGACAAAATTGAGATATTTCAAGAGCTTTCATATTGGTACATGTATGTATACCTGAATGCTAAATGTACTACACGGTATGATGCCGTGAGTATGATGTAGTCCGCGTATTGGCCAAGTGGTGTCTTGCTTTAGCTTATGAACAATTCTTTTTTGGTATATAGTTTTATTGCATTTACCATTTTTAGATATTAGTACAATTTTTATCCTAAAACGTTTTTAGAGTACTGTACAGCTACAAATAAGTTAAACTTATAAAATCAGATATAAATGGTGTTTTTTTAGAAAGCTAAACTAAACTCCCAAACCCAGATGGAACATTCACATATTTGGAATGCCTAAAAAGATATTTGGCTTAACATGTTGAAACATCTCTTCTGAATAAAATTCTTGTTGATTTTGATAAATGAATAAAGGTTTTGTTTCATTTAATTAAAACAAACAAACAAAAAAAGTGTGAGACTGCATGTATCGAAGATCGGCAAAAAAGGTGGGATTAAAGTGCCTGTCTGCTTCGAAGTCAGTGNGGACGAGGAGAAAGGGAAGGAAAGAGGGAGGATGGAGACAGAGAGGCCGAGACAGGGACACACGCGCACGCATGCACACACACACACACACACACACACACACACACACACGCATAGAGAGAGAGAGAGAGAAAGAGAGAGGAGGAGATCGGGAAGGAAAGAGATGATTCACTGCTGGTTCAGTTAGCCTTCTTTGATAATATATTATCCACATTATCACACTAACCAAGAATTGTGGTAACACGTAGTATGGAGCAGTGTAGGTACCATAGCAGTAACTATTATGTACTACTAATATGCGTGAGAGAAAGTAAATCGTATTAGATTTGTTGGATAAAACTTCCCGAATTCATGCTGACACAATCACTGTGTGTGTGGCAGGGTTGCATATTGTTAATATTGATTAATTTGGAGATTGTTTTTAGTTCATAGTAACTGGAGTGCTGGGAATTCTGACGCGAAATAGGGACAAAAGGCTTGTGAGTATAGTTCATCTGCTTTGAATTTTAGATAATGTTATGAGTTTCCTATTTATTATGAACCGTACACAATAATCCTTTAATTGAAAAATATAAGTGCTTAATCAAAATGATGATAATTTACTTAGTACATTACGTACCATGTCTATAAGGTTTATGTTTCCACTCCTTGACAGAACAGCATTCTTATTATGAATTTTAATTTGATTAAAATCACTTTATTTTTTATTTATTAATGCATTTAAATCTTTCCAGATCATCGCATATATGATCATGTCTATAATATCAGTCGTTTTTGCTTGGACTGCATTGATAAGTGTATCTGCTATTGACGTCACTGCGAGTGCCATACGAAACCAAGTCAGCTTGAGCAACAATTTTGTCACATTTGGATCTTTGATAAATTTCGTATGTGGATTACATGTATTCCTATATTTTGATGACGCAGATAAGCACATTTTTGCTTTAGCCAATTTGTCACGTTTTCTTTTGTTTAAATGAAATTACTTTGCCAACCCTCAGACATTTTGAGGAAAAATATCAACTTTGTTTTTAAGATTTATTCAAAAACCTAGGTATGGTCGTTTGCCAAGGCATACTTCTTCACATTTTTGTCAGCACTTGTTGTTATAGCTTTCTTTCCAATTATTTAAACAAAAACTATCTTATGAATTGTGTATTTGTTGACTATCAAAGGTATTTTACAAATTTTATTTTACAAATTCCTATTTTTATGTTTATTTATCTTAATCTTTTGCCAGGGTTACATCAGCGTTGGACTGTCTGGGTATATGGTTTTCCTGTCCGTTGTAGAGGGGATTATAGCAATTATTGCATCAGCCTTTTGTTGCCATGGCGTCTGTTGCGGTGCTCAGGTTAGTGCATTTTGCATATATGAGTTGGCAAAATTTTAGTTATTTCAAAGGTATTATTTTACATAATTAAACTTCACAGTCCCCAATGACATTGCCTGTTGGCTTAAATAAGACTTCTCCATACTAACTACATAAAGATCTGGATAAACTCGGTGTTAGGCACATGGCTGATTCTGAAAGTGGGTCAAAACTTGACTGTCACATCTAGCAAAATTCGTCCTCAAATTCCTGTCACATCTAACACAAATATATGTAGACGGTCCTGTCACATTTAGCACAGTTGTGCAACAATGGTGTCACCAAACTGTTGCAGCAATATTATCTTTACAACTGCCCGCACTTCACGTTTCTATAATATTTTTGTACACTGTATGATTTTAATCACAACATGTAATATTATTGTGTAATATTGTATCATACTGTGTTACAGCCTTCCACCCCGGGAACTGTGGCTTATGCAGAACCCAACATTGGACAAAATGCTATGGCTTACGTGGCACCTGCTCAGCAAGGTAATGTGAATAGGATGGTCCATTCAAATTACACATTTGGTCATTTGCCCAAAGTACCCACTGTATCTTTAGGAATTACTGTTTTCTAGTTGTATTTCCTCACAGAATTTTTGAGATATTTAGAGATAATACCCTTGAGGAATTTACCAGTGTCATTATTCTAGATTTGAAAAAATGAAAAGTGAAAAAAATGACTTTCTTTTAATAATATTAATACCACGCAGTTGAATTTACGTTGAGGAGTTTGTCTCTCTGGCAGACAAGAGATCCATTATCCTGATCACTGAATTATAAACACTTTCAGTACCAAATGTGCACTACCCAGGGGTTGGAGGATACTATCCACAGCACCAACAATGGCCGCAGGGGGGCGCCACGGGACAGATGGATGAACATATGCCACAGAAGCTGTAATGGCCGGAGCATATTTGCCAAAGTTACCAATACATTTTTTAGTGTTTGTTGTAGTTGGCTGATGGCCATACGGTGTCTTTCTGCTTCATCTCTTGTGAGTCAATTAGATATATACACGTGTAGGTAGTATAGATGGATAGATAGATAGCTGCTTATCATCAAATGCGCCACTGCTGCGCAAACAGTTTTAGTATTGTCTGCTAAACCTAAGATGTGCCAGCTTGTTCTACGCCCGGCTAATACAGGTGTTGCAAAGAACTCAGATGACGCTTTACTATTGCAATTTTTTATAAGCTGAGATATGTGTAACATTTCCAGGGTCAGAAGTTTGGCTTGCCATTTTGCACTACGTTTTTCTTTTACTTTTGAGTTGCTGATAGGCAACATTCAACGTAAGTTCTTTTGTGAGTTTAGGGCCTGGAGTATGGTGTGGTTTTACTTATACAGAAGAGTGTGTATTTTCATGAGGAACAAGTACATACTTCTAGTCGAGGAACTTTTTTTATGAACAGCTGGTGATGTTTATTTTGAATATTGTAAGTTTAAAATAGAGAAAATATACTTTTGATGAAAATTTAGTTTGCCAAGGAAGTAACATCGGTCAGTTGTAACTTGATCTATTACAATTTAGACTCCAATAAATTAACGACTTTCTGGTGACCAGACCGAATTTTGTGAAACTGTATGCCCTGAAGTGTTATGGTGCTTTGCGTATATAGGAGTTTACGTTTGCATTGTACACTTTCGTGTGGAAGGCAATGTTTCTAATCTGTATAATGTATTCGATGACCGGTTGTGCCACGGATACCAGGGGTATGACTTACTGGTGAAGTTCATAATACATGACTACAGGGTAAATTAATGTTAAAAATCAGTTCGCCACAGGCATATCATAGGTTAGTTGTTGCTGGTACGTTTGGATATATATGTGACTAAATTTAGATATTTCAAGAGCTTTCATATTGGTACATGTATGTATACCCGAATGCTAAATGTACTACACGGTATGATGCCGTGAGTATGATGTAGTCCGCGTATTGGCCAAGTGGTGTCTTGCTTTAGCTTATGAACAATTCTTCTTTTTTGGTATATAGTTTTATTGCATTTACCATTTTTAGATATTAGTACAATTTTTATCCTAAAACGTTTTTAGAGTACTGTACAGCTACAAATAAGTTAAAATTATAAAATCAGATATAAATGGTGTTTTTTTAGAAAGCTAAACTAAACTCCCAAACACAGATGGAACATTCACATATTTGGAATGCCTAAAAAGATATTTGGCTTAACATGTTGAAACATCTCTTCTGAATAAAATTCTTGTTGATTTTGATAAATGAATAAAGGTTTTGTTTCATTTAATTAAAACAAACAAACAAAAAAAGTGTGAGACTGCATGTATCGAAGATCGGCAAAAAAGGTGGGATTAAAGTGCCTGTCTGCTTCGAAGTCAAAGCTACTTCTCGCTGGCTGCGCGCGGAGTGCTAAAGCCACACCGATCACGACGATTCTTTGCCCACAAGATTACACCTTTTAAAAACTTAAAGGAGATTCATGGCATATAATGATAATAAATGAATACATATTGGGTATTACTATAACCACAAAGTCCAATTTTGAAACGCATTTTTATTCTTTATTTGTCTTTTTACTTAATTTTTATGATCAATTTTAATCGACTTTGTGTTTACAAGAGTAAAAAAAGCCGCTATCGGGCGCTACGCTGCCAAAGTTTTCAAATCAAAATGTCCTTTGCCTTTAGTTCAATTTCTCTTTAATAGAAGCCTATATTTACAACTCAGAAAGCTAAATTACATGTATACAATTCTGGTGCAATGTGTTTACCAACCCCCTAATAAATTAAGAAATAGTGAGGCAATGATAAGGCTGCCCCAGACAGGTGAAGGCATACCTATAATTAAGAATTAACCGGAATGGCCAGCGTATAAATATTCCCCGCAAACAGCATGAAGTTAAATTAGATATTACTAATTTACCTGGATATAATCATTTTTCACTTGCTGACTTTGTTTCTCTTTTTTGTTTGTACTCGACAGTAAAGTCCTAATAAAGATTCAAAATTATACTATTTCGGTTTAGTTCTTATTTTTTGGCGTCAGTACTGGGTTTTGTTAAAAAAAAGGGAAGCAAGGAGCCAGTTTGTACATGCCCTCACCTTGTAAGCAGTTAACCTGTGGAAAAACGAATATTTGCAAGTTTCTATTACACACTAATACCGGTAAAAGCTTAGTCGCTTTCAATAGAGTAGCATGTACAGTAACATGTATTCGCTTGCTATTAAATTCAAAATTTTAAGTATTGAACTAAAGATCTAGACAGAAAACTGGAAAACTTAAAGTGCACCGAGCCCGACGTTATCATTAATGGCCTACATTTGTTTGAATAGACCAGGAAACAATTTCTGACAGCACGCGACTTGCGTATCAAACACGACAGTTATTGGCCGCTGCGATTAGTAAGGCATCTCATCGCACGCGGAGATACACCAGGTGTAAGATGTACCTACATTAATAGAAATAATAACTGGGCTAATTCTGTCAATCTTGTCACTATCGGATTGTCAAGAACTAACACACAGGTAACCAGTGAAAGGATTGGAAGATGCTTTCGGCCAGTGTCAGATGGTATCGTACCGTGTAACAGGAATCTAAGTCCGCTAGGAACCGTAGTCCGCTTCCAATTACTCCGTATAGGTTAGACTCGTCCCATATACTAACCCCAATACTCGGACCAACCCTAACCTGTACTAATCAGATGGGAGCCTGGACTTCCATTCCTAGGACTACCATTCCTGCCACACCGCTAACCGTAACCTGTACAAATCATATGGGGGCCTGGACTTCCATTCCTAGGAGTATCATTTCTGTCACACTGGCAATACCAGCAGGTTGACGCATTAGATAGTTGCGCCTCATTGAAACAGAGCAGCTTCCAGATATAAACAAAACAAAACAAAAAACATTTTACTTATAGGATATTTTTCATTTCAGTGTCTACCCTTTTATCTTTTCCAGTAAATAAACAAAAGTAAACGAGATTCTATCACCATGACAACAGTGATGTGCCAGACCCCCCAGGTAGTAAGACAACCGGTGATTATCACAGTGCCAACTGCTGGAGGTTCTTCGCCATTTATTGCTGAAAAGTGCGTACATGTATATATGTGAGATTAACGTTTGAGTTGCCTGTATAATCTTTACTGGTTTTACACACTTTCTTAATCTTTGCTAAGATCAGGTTCGACGAATGCAGACAGGTACATGTACATGGACGTATTTGTTCCTAAGAGGATCCGAAGATTAACCAAAATTGAAAAGCAGCAAAATCAAGCTTGTTTTATACTAAAACACCTATAGCAGTAAATGGTAGAAATGTATCGAATATTATCAAGTTGTGGTAAAAAAGCGAGGGGAGGCATGTGAATGATATTTCAAATGTATACTTGCTTCATATCCGATCTTGCAAATGGCCGGTTCCACACTAAAACAACATCATCAACATTCTATTTTTATGTTATCATTTTTCTCAAATTTGTGTTTTAAGCATAAACAATTAATTTTTGTTTTATTTGGTAATTTTGGGTAGAATAGAATCAGTAATAACTAATATAAACCTATTTTGGCGTAATAAACATTTTGGCAAGATACTTGTACAGGGGGCAGTGGGCAACTAAGTGCAAAATCCATATTGTGCGTAAATGCTATAGTTCTTAATTGAAATATTTTGACATAATCAAGTGCATAAGAAAAAGAGAGAAAAAAAAAAAAAAAACAGCATGATTAATATTTCTGAACATATGCAGTATTTGTTCCAGGTACATGCACAGAGCTAGTGTTGGCCTTGCTATAACACAGTTTATTCTTGGGGTTATCTCTTTTGTCATTGGAATTGTTATTGCTGCCTGGGTTCCAGCAGGATCTTTTGACACTATTAACCATCACACCGGGGCTGGGATGTGGTGTGGCATTGTGGTAAGGAGAGAGAGAGAGACAGATAGGGTTACAGAGAGAGAGAGACAGAGACAGGCAGAGAGACAGAGAGAGAGAGAGAGAGTCCATTATTGGACTAAGCAGCGTAACTTACATAGCAACATGTGACAGAATCTCTAATATGATAATTTGAGAAACAAAGGTGTTAAATTAATTATAGAACTTCTGTTCTCAGAATATCAAAAAAATATTATATAATATACCTGTAAATATTGACTTATATAAGTGATTTTTAGTTCATAGTTACTGGAGTACTGGGGATTCAAACACGAAAGAAGAATAAGGGATGGGTGAGTTCCCATAGTTTATCCACCTTAAATAATGACTTCTGTATTTCCAAGAAGCATTAAAACCTAGAACTGGAAAAATAATCCTTAATCGAACACCGATGAAAAATTTAATAAAATTAACGATTACAAAACTCATACTTTTATATGTCCTTCGATTGTCATAGCATTGGAAAACTCTTTTTTTTTTCATTTGTTCATTTGTGCGTATATTTCCAGATCATCTCATACATGATCATGTCTATCATATCAGCCGTTATTTCATGGATTGTCTTGATGGGCATTTCTTCTATTGATCTTGTGTATGTCGGAACGAGTTTTTGGTTTGATTTGACATATTACGTAAGTGGCCTAATTTCATCTGTATATTGTTATGGCGGTCTAATTGCATGACTTGATGAGCTTTTGCTTTGGTTTCGTCCATTTGGTTAGATTTGAGTTTAGTTAAATGAAGCTTCTTTTCAAAGCAAGAGACATTTTGTAGAAGTCATTTAGATCTTTGTTATATTTAGACTGTTTATGCCAAAGTATTTTACAATCATTTGCTGGGGTCTTCTTATAGACCTATATATTTTTTGTTTGAGTGATAGTTTTCAAATATTCCCTCCCAATTAAAAGAAAGTAAAATATGTTTGACATGAAATGAGCAATATCACAGGTATTTTACACATTTGAAACGCATATATTGATAGAATTTTTGTCTTATTCCTTTTGCAGGAAAGTGTCATCTCGGGACTATCTTGGGTTTTTATCTTCCTCTCCATTGCAGAGGGGGTGGTAGCCGTTATCTCATCAGCTATTTGTGGCCATGCAGTCTGTTGTTGTTCCAAGGTCAGTGTTGTTTTTACAAATTGGAGCCGTGAAATGTATTTTAAAAATTATATTTTTTAAACATATTTTCTTTCATACCTACTAACACCAACGTTAAGGTAAAACCGCAAGTGATTTTTTTTTAATTAGACAACTCCAAAAGGTAAGGTGTACTGGAAGGAAAAAGATCATCACTGACGCTACTGGTTCATCTAACGCAATAATTTTCTGTCACATCCGCACCATGAGCTCAAAACTTCCGATCACATCTAACGCAAATTATACAGAACCTCTTGTAGCAACTTGTGCAGCAAAGTCACCTCTTACAGCTACCTGCATGTCACCTTGTATCAACGTTTATCTAGTATTTTTATATGGTATCATTTATATAATGTCATATCATATCAATAAAAATATATCACATCAATAAAACATTCTGTATCATATAATATTGCAGCCTACCACCCAGGGTACTGTCAACTATACTGTACCCAACACTGGACAAAATACTGTGGCTTTTGTGGCACCTGGACAACAAGGTAATGTGAATACAAAAAAGAAGGAATTTTACTTTTATCAAATGGGATTAAGAGAATTTCACATTTTGTGAAGCCATCATTTGGATGACAAATGAGTGCTGCCATCTTTGAATCATTAACAAAGGATATATGTAATGCTGTATATGGATCATTCATATTATAGATTTGACCGCTTGCCCCAAGTGTCTGGAGTAACTTTTGTCATTAAGTTTTATTTCCTCGCGGAATTGGTTGAGATGTTGAAAGGTATTTGCTTTGGGAAATTTGTCAGTGATTCTTTTTTAGGTAGAAATTGTTTCTGTGATTCAATAATATGGGCACTACACAGCTGAATTAACGTTCGAGAGTATTTTTCTTCGGGAGATTATACACGCATTCTTCTCGTCTAATCATCAAAAACTCACCTCCTTTCAGGATTTGTGTTCTACCCACAGCCTTTCTGTAACCAGAATCCTCCAGCTTACATGTACAACACTGCCCAACAACAACAGCAACAGCAGTGGCCACAACAACAACCACCCCAGTCACAGGCACAGTATCCAGAGAGACATCCAGAGGATGACGCCTCAGGACAACAGACAGAATCTCTGCAACAGAAACTGTAAAACCTAGTAGAAATTGGTCAAAATTAGAAACTTTGTGTAGCATTTTTTTATATGATGCCTTATTGCTTTCTATATGGAAGTCAACTGTTGTGTAATAGTTTTAAACTTTTTAACGCAGCGTTGTCTATTGCCTTTTTACATTAAACACCATAAGTTAATTAGTTCTAGCACTGGGGTATAAGTTGGAGTGGATTAATATTTCCAGTCTTTAACTTTAAGACCTACATAAATTTTCCGACCTAAAGTCAAAACTTTCAAGGTTAGTACCCTTATGACAACAGGGCCTGGAATATTATCGGGTTTTAAATTCTAAAGAGCACAAGTTGGCACTTGTATTTATGTAGTGGAAATGGAGGAGGGGGGTAAACTGGTAAATGCCCGTGGGTCACTTGGTTGCGGTTCTAACATTGAACCTCCCTAAAAACCAAAACTGAAAGCGGCAACGCGACACTAACTCCCTGAGAGAATGCGCTTGCATGCATGAGGAAGAAGGGTGAAGGATTTGGCATGATATGGTTTGCTTTGGCCAGACATTTTACCAAAGTTGTAATTTGGGTTGTTCATGCAATTTGATAAAATAATACAAAAACTATCAATATGCAGATTTTGAAATATTTCCCCTGGTATTTAGCACTTCAATATCTGTTATTCCCCCTTTCTTCGCTGTATGTACTCACTGTAAATATCGTAATAGTAAATCGTTTTTGTTTGAAAATATAATTTTTTTACATTTTTAACTTTTAACCAGATCCAGTGTTTTTGAGTTACATACGTGTAATGTATTAAAGCTTGTATGCAACTCTGTTTTCAAGCGGGTTGCGTATAGAATTGTTTATAATAACTTCCTTAATTAATTTTAAGTAATGAAATGATTACGCCAAGCTACTAAAAATGAAACTAAAAGGTAGAAATTTAAATCTCAGAATGTACATTAGTGCATACAGGTATTTTACATGCCTGAAAAATATTATGTATAAGAAGGGGAGAAATGCATTTCCTAAAAACAAAATTGAGATTATTTTATTTTAAGAAAAAACATTTTGTATCTTACACATTATAAACAATAATAACCTTTGAATTCGTGACTTTTAATGCGTGTTTTGATAGTAACTGTTTATTTATAAAGAAAGTATATAAAACGGTAGAAATCCTATACCAAGTGTGCTATAGTGTGTGCATGTTACCCTTATTCATTTATTTTTCTTTAAATCAACAGGGTCATATAGAATGTAAAATAAAAAAATGACTATACAGAAGAGTGTCTATGTTCATGTGGAACAAGTACATACTTCTAGTCGAGAAATGCATTTAATGCATTGGTGATGTTTATTTTGAATACTGTAAGTTTAAAATAGAGAACATATACATTTGATGAAAATTCAGTTTGCCACGGAAGTGACATTTATCAGTCGTAACTTGATCTATTACAATTAAGACTCCAAAAATGTAATTTACGACTTTCTGGTGACCAGACGGACTTTTGTATACCCGAATGCTAAATGTACTACACGGTTTGATACCGTGAGTATGATGTAGTCCGTGTATTGGCCAAGTGGTGTCTTGCTTTAGCTTATTAACAATTCTCCTTTATTTTTAGCACAGTTTAAATGCATTTACCATTCTTAGATATAAGTACAATTTTTTCTATAACATTTTTTTAGAATGCTGTACAGTTATAAGTGAAAATTATAAAAACAGATATATATAGTATTTTTAGAAAACTAAACTACACTAAATTTCCAAACCCAGATGGAACATTCACATATTTGGAATGCCTAAAAGGATATTTGGCTTAAAATGTTGAAACACATACCTCTTCAGAATAAAATTCTTGTTGATTTTGATGAATGAATTAAAGGTTTTATTTCTTTTAATTAAAAAAGAAATGTGTGAGACTGCATTTATCGAAGATCGGCACAAAATGCGGGATAAAAGTGCCTGTCTGCTTCGAAGTCAGTGCTACTTCTCGCTGGCTGCGCGCGGAGTGCTAAAGCCACACCGATCACGACGATTCTTTGCCCACAAGATTACACCTTTTTAAAACTTAAAGGAGATTCATGGCATATAATGATAATAAATGAATACATATTGGGTATTACTTTAACCAGAAAGTCCAATTTTGAAACGCATTTGTATTCTTTATTTGTCTTATTACTTAATTTTTATGATCAATTTTAATCGACTTTGCGTTTACACTAGTAAAAAAAAAAAAAAAAAAAAGACGCTATTGGGCACTACCGTTTTAAAGTTTTCAAATCAAAATGTCTTTTGCCTTTAGTTCAATTTCAGTTAATAAAAGCCTTTATTTACAACACAGAGAGCCAAACTATACAATTCTGGTGCAATGTGTTTACCAACCCCCTAATAAATTAAGAAATAGTGAGGCAATGATAAGGCTGCCCCAGACAGGTGAAGGCATACCTATAATTAAGAATTAACCGGAATGGCCAGCGTATAAATATTCCCCGCAAACAGCATGAAGTTAAATTAGATATTAATAATTTACCTGGATATAATTATTTTTCACTTGCTGACTTTGATTATCTTTTTTTGTTTGTACTCTACAGTAAAGTACTAATAAAAATTTAAAATTATATTATTTCGGTTAGTTCTTATTGTTGGGCGTAAGTACTGGGTTTTGTTAAAAAAAGTGAAGCAAGGAGCCAGTTTGTACATGCCCTCTACTTGCAAGGAGTTTACTTGCGAAAAACGAATATTTGTAAGTCTCTATTACATACTAATACCGGTAAAAGCTTTGTCGCTTCCAATAGGGTAATATGTACAGTAATATGTATTCGCTTGCTACTTAATCCATAATTCTGAGTATTGAACTAAAGATCTAGACGGAGAACTGGAAAACTAAAAGTGCACCGAGCCCGATGTTATCATTAATGGCCTAGATTTTTTTGAAAAGACCAGGAAGCAATTTCTGACAGCTAGCGGCTTGTGTATCAAACACGACAGTTATTGGCCGCTGCGCCTAGTAAAGTGAAAAACGTTTATGAATCTCATCGCACGCGGAGATACACCGGGAGCCTGGACTTCCATTCCTAGGACTACCATTCCTGCCACACCGTATTACCAAAAGGTTGACGCATTAGATAATTGCGCGCACTTGGGCCCGTAACTCGAAAGCATCGTGTATTGCGAATAGGGATATCACATAGAGGCTACAATGCATTATATGGGGCGAGTATGGGCGAATTTTGGAATCGAGACGCTTGCTCTTGGTCGCGATGCGCGATGCTTTCGAGTTACGGGGCCCAGCTTCCCGATATAAACAAACAAAAAATTAACTTTTGGGATTTTTAATACCAGTCTCTACTCCATTATGTTTTCCAGTTTTACTAAATAAATAAAGGTAAATGAGACAATCACCATGACAACAATGATGTATCAGGCCCCCCAGGTAGTGAGGCAGCCGGTGATCATCACAGCGCCACCTGCTGGAAGTTTTTCGCCGTTTATCGCTGAAAAGTACGTATATATGTGGAATTTACGTTTGAACTGCCTGTGTAAGTTCTACTTGTCTTGCACCTTTTTTTAATCTTTGCTAAGACCTGGTCCGAAGAATGCAGATAGGGACTTGTACATGGACGTATTTGTTTCCGTGAACGTCTGGTAATTTTGAGTAGAATAGAATCAGTAATAACTGATATAAACCTATATTGGCGTAATACATACATGTATTTTGGCAAGATACATGTAGTGGGCAACCAAGTGCTAAATCCATATTGTGCCTAAATGTCATAGTTTTTAATTGAAATATTTTGACATAATCAAGTAATTACATACAAAACAACAGCACAATAAATATTTCTCAAGCACAATATTTGTTCCAGGTACATGCACAGAGCTGGTGTGGGACTTGGCATAACACAGACTGTTCTTGGGGTTATCTCTTTCATCTTTGGTGTTGTTTTTACTGCATGGATTCCGGCAAGATTCCTTGGAAGTATTAACCATCACACCGGGGCAGGGGTGTGGTGTGGCACTGTGGTAAGGAGAGGGAAGGAAGGAGAGAGGAAGAAGAAGAAGAGAGAAATAGAGATAGAGAGAGAGAGAGGGATGGGATTACACACATGCGCGCACGTGCACACACACACAAGAACACACACATCAAGGGAAGGAGGGAGGGAGAGAGAGAAAGGTTAAGAGAGAGAGAGAGAGAGAAAGGTTAAGAGAGAGAGAGAGAGAAAGGTTAAGAGAGAGAGAGAGAAAAAGGTTAAGAGAGAGAGAGAAAAAGGTTAAGAGAGAGAGAGAGAAAGTAAAATTTGCTGCTGGTGCAGTTACGTTTTTCAAATAATATTATCCGTATTATCAGACTTAGCAATGTAATTTTCATTGCAACAAACGAGAGAATTTCAAATAAAATAATCATTGGTGTGAAACAAAGTTGACGATATTAGATTTCTTTTAATCAAAATCTTTAGTTTAATTAAAGTTATCAAAATATCATAACAGTATTATGTAACATAAAATTTGACTAATATAAAAAAGTTATTTTTAGTTCGTAGTGACTGGAGTACTGGGGATTTTGACACGCAAGAAGAATAAGGGATTGGTGAGTACCAGTAGTTCATCTATCTTAAATGATGAATTTTGTGTTTGACAAAAGCCATGATAACCTTCCCTATAATTGTAAAAAAAAGTCCTTAACCAAACACCGAAGAAAACTTCAATACATTTAACAATTACATAACTTTTACTGGGGTACTTATACACGCTCTTTGTTTGTCAAAGCATTAATAAAAACTCAATATATATCTTTTTCATTTTTTTATTTATATCTTTCCAGATCATCTCATACATGATCATGTCCATCGTATCAGCTGTTATATCATGGATTGTATTGATAGGAATATCTTCTATTGACCTTGCAGCAGTTAGATGGCATTTTTTGTTTGACTGGGACTATTACGCAAGTGCCCCCATTTCATATGTAGATTGCGGTTTTATTCCATGGCTTAATTGATGAGTTTTTACTTTGGTTTCATTCAATTAGTTACATATAAGTCTAGTTACATGGAGCTATTTGTCTTAACCAGAGATATTTTACAACATAGAAGTCAATTAAATCTTTGATTGTGATGTTTATGCACAATAAATAAATAAATAAATAAATAAATAAATAAATAAATAAATAAATAAAAACATTTTCTAATCATTTGCCAAGGTCTTCCATATATTTTTTTGTCAAGTGTTTGTTTTTAAATATTCCTTTCCATGTTATAAAAATAAAATATTTAATGTTTCATATAAAATGCCCAATTGATTTATTTTTGTCACAATCCTTTTGCAGGCTAGTGTCATCACGGGACTGTCTGGATTTTTTATCTTCCTCTCCTTTGTAGAGGGACTTGTAGCCGTTATCTCAGCAGCCATTTGTGGCCATGCCGTCTGTTGCTGTTCCAAGGTCAGTGTTTATTGCAAATTGGAGCAGTCAAAATTGTATGTATTTAAAACATTATATTTTAAAAACATATTCTTTCATACCAACATTAAGGAAAAACCCGAAGTGTATTTTTTAATTAGACAACCCCTAAAGATGTACTGAAGGCAAAAGACTACCTCTTGCTACTGGTTCATCTAACGCACGATGAACACAAAACGTACGTCCAACACAATATGAACAAAAACTCTTTTCGCAACTATGTAAAAAAGTTGTCGCCAAATATTTGCAGTAAAGTCACCTTTTACAACTGCCTGCATGTCACATTGTATCAACATTTATATAATATATGTATATTGCACCAGTCACGTAATGTCATATTATATAAATATAGCTATGCTGTATCAATACATTTATATTATGTCATATTATATTGCAGCCTTCTAGTCAGGGAACAGTCACCTATACAGTACCCAACACTGGACAAAATACTGTGGCTTACATGGTACCTGGACAACAAGGTAATGTGGATAAAAAAGAAGGAATATGTTTTTAACAAATATGGCTCATCGAATTTCACATACTCTTTTGTCATCTGTGCATCATTAACGTTGCAAACTTGTTCTGTCATCTTTGGACGTTTTACAAAGAGCATAAGTGCTGCCATATTTGGATTATTTACATTATACATTTGGCCATCTTGCCCCAAGTGTTATGAGAAACTTTTGTTATCAAGTTTTATTTCCTGACGTACAGGGGATAAGAGGTTGAGATATTGATAAGGATTTTTTTCGTAAAATTAGTGAGTGTGATTCTTTTTCAGATAAAAAAAGTTACAATGATTCAATAAAAAAAAGAGACTACACAGATGAAGTTACATTGATGTTTCTTTCCTCCGTCGGATTGGAAACCCGATCATTCTTCTGTCATTAGGCTACATAGGGCACGTCCAGATAAACCAATTATACTAACTGGATAGGTCCAACTCTGCGGAAGATTCTCCTAAGTGCAATCAGTGTAAGCAGCTTTAATTTCTGACACTCCTCCTGGAGCAGCTAATGGGTAATTAAGTTGAGCGCGCATGAAAGTTGATTTCCACCTAGCTGGTCAAGGGGTTGTCAGACAATTAAGCAGATTACACTGATTGCACTTTAGCGAAAATCCCCCGCAGAGTTGGATCAACGCAGCTGGTACCATGTCTGAATCTGAATGCGGTCATAAAAACCTCATCTCCTTTCAGGCTTTGTGTACTATCCACAGCAGGGGCCCCATGTTGGAGGTTACAACGCCCAGCTTATGTATGCCCAGGGACTTCCAGCTTACAACACTGTGTTAAGTCTCAATCTTCGTCGGTTAGACTTTACGAGAAAATAATGTCACGTTAGATAACGCGCCGGTTCTTGGGCCTTAGTGTTGTGCGCCCAGCTGATCCAGTAAAACGANCCCAACAACAACAACAACCACTCCAGGCACAGCCTCCAGAAAAACAGCCAAAGGGTGGCGCCACAGGACAGGAGGCAGAATCTCTGTAACAGAGGGTTTAAAGCCCAGTAGAAATTGGTCAAAATTACATTTTTTGTGTAGCTTTTGTTAAATGATGCCAATCTATTTCTTATAGGTAACAACTTCAAACTTTTTGTACAATGTTGCTTGTTGTCTTTTTTTTTAATTTTAGACCAAAAGCTTATATGTATTGGTCGGTAGTGGACCAAAATTGTCAGGCTTTAATTTCAATACTTACATTTATTTTCCGTCCTAAAGTAAAGGCAACCTTTCAATGTAAGCAACCTTATAAAACCAGGCCCTGGAGTATTATTGGGTTTAAAATATCGTGCTTACAACACAAATGCAGAAACTAAAATTGGTGGAACCCAAAATGATGAAATTTGGAATCTCCAAATGAGGAGTACAAGTATGGACTTGTATCCTATCTAATTCTTGTTTTAAGTTGAACTGGGGAGGTTTATACAGCTGGTCAGTGCCCACAGATCACATGGTTGCGGTTCTACACGTGTACCTCCATTAAAACCAAAAGGCAGCCGAAACTGAAAGCGCGCAACGCAGCCCTAACCCCCTCAGAGAATGCCCTTGCTTGGAATTCGACATGATAATTTGCTTCTGCTGATGGACAATTTTACTTTCAATAGCATGATATTGGCCAGAAATTTTACCAAAGTTGTAACTTCGGGTGTTCGTGAAACCCGATAAAATAATACAATAATTGTCAATTTGTAGAGTTTGAAATATTCCCCCTGATATTCAGCACTTCAATATATATATATATATGTTAACCACCCCATTAGTCACTGTACGTACTCACTGTAGATATCGTGATAGTAGATCGTTTTTGTTTCAGAATCTGATTTCTTACATTTTAACTTATAATCAGACCTAATGCTTTTGTGTTACACTATGTGATGTAAAACATTTTATATGCTCTGTTTTCAAGTGGTTTGCAAATAGAATTGTTTATGTTAACCTCCTTAATTAGTTTTAAGTTATGATATTATCACGCCAGGCTACTAAAAATTAAGCTAAGAGGTAGAAATTAAAATCTCAGAGTGTACATTAGTGCATATTTTACATGCATGAAAAAAATATTATGCATAAGAAGGTGAGAAATGCATTTCCTATGAACAAGTTTTACATCATTTTATCTTAAAATTTTCATTTTGTATCTTACACACTATAAACAATGCTAAGCTTAGCTTAGGAAAGCTTTGGAAGTTATGTTGGATCATGTGATCCATTCGTTTGTTTCGTTCACGTGATAAATTTTGAATTTGTGATTTTTAATGCGTTTTTTGATAGTTAAGTTTTATTTATACAGAAAGTATATAAAACGGTAGAAATCTCATAGACTCTCTCAAATTGCACTTTCCGCCCCTTATACCAAATGTGCTATAGTGTGACAGATGTGTACATGTAACCCTTATATTATTAATTCATTTTGCTTTAAATCAACAGTGTCATATAGAATGTAGAATAAAAGTTTTTTTCTTAAAGGAAATTAAATAAATATTTGTTTATCTGATAGATGTGTGTGTCGTCTGTGAGTCAGGAAACATTTCGATATTCTACCTGGGACTTTTAAAAAATAATCGTTATTGAATGTACAGTAATAGCCGTGTGAAAATTTCAGTAACAGTACTCACCCCGAGTTTTAAAGGACACTGGGTGAGTAAGAGATACCTGTACCTGTATAGCACGTATTCACCACACTGTGCACCTACTGGAAAGACTGATCACCGTTCGTTAATACTTAATGTCCAACTCAACTCCATATTACTCTGGCGAACCCGCATAGGTCAGCATAGCAGGCTAATAGCTGGCATGTGACATAATCGCCATATAAAAGTGAACTTTCACGTAGGCCTCATTAAGCTGAGCACACAGGTCTCGAACGCAGGGCCTCCTATCAACAAAATTACATCATTTACTTCCATTGGAGCGACAGGGGATCTCATGTGTCTCGACGTGCTTCGTCTGCTCCGACAAATGTCATCTCTGCACTGAGGATTTACCTGACATTTTGCAGGCTAATGCTACATCACTCTTCTGCATGTAGTCATAGCTGGATGAGCACGGAGAAATACGACAGTGCATAAAACCTATTGTTTATTATTGTATTTCATTTTAAAATAACCAGCCACGTGTCTTGTATGTACTAGTCATTGTCTTCACACACTGCTGACACGTGAATGGACCTGCTGTGGGCTGGGGACGACATATAGTTTATATACCAGATCCGATTGCTGGTCATTGCAATTGAAGGGATTTGGAATGCCACGTCATCTAAACTACGAGTGGACAGTTTGATTCAAGTTATAGGGAATATAAAACATACGGTTTTTATATTGGAGCGTGCGGATGACGTAAACGTTGTCTTTGTACATGTACGTATGGAGCAGAAGAAGTTTTCTGACTGTGAGTAGGAAGTTAAAGAAGTCTTCAGAGAGTGACCGAGAAGGAAGGAATAAGATTTCTATTGGTAAAGACAGGAGTGACCACGACCTATAGCCAGCGTGACTGGGACTCGTTCGGTCAACACCCCGACTCAGTCACTTTTATATGGGACAGAATTAAGACATTTACGCTGAGGCATGCCCATACCACTGATATAAATCTTAATGAATATTACCTTCGTCTACCCGGGCACTTGTCCCAAATATATGGTGACGCGAGCGAAAGGAACTCTATCTATCCTCAACAGTTACCATGATATCATCCTACAGCGATTATACAGGGCATGTGCACTGTGATCATTGACTGAGCTTACTCAGCTTAACGACGTCTCCAGTTCAAATGCAACGCCAGCCAATCTGTAGGGGTGAAGACGCCCACTGTTAACATATGTGTGAACTGTGTATTTGTATGTAACGCTATATCACCGATATCGATCTAGTCGTCCATATTGATTTTAGTTGGAATGCGACGGGTCTTCTCAGAGTGGGAGCAGTTATAGGTGCAGAGTAATCACATCAATATGAAATCCGAACATAAACATCTCGACAATTTAGGTTGACAATGGGTTATCAACTTAAAGTGTAATGGATTTCCACTTACATTAAAAGTGGGGCACGGATTATATTGCACTAGACATGAAAATTAGTAGTCAACATATTTCAAGAAGACTCATCGTCACCCTGAACAGAAAAATAAGAGACGGGCACTTGTCAAGGCACTTGTCACCGCGAGATTGATATTGGTAGTCATATATTACAGCAGGCTTAGTTGTATAGAGTGGGGTGGTTGATCTAGAGCCGGAGACATGGCTATTAGCCCGGCAGTCCTGAGGTGTGCGGCGCTCGTGGTGGGGTGTCTGGGGCTGCTGCTTCAGGGGATGGCGATCACGTTCAATGCCTACCAGTTGGCACTGAAGCAGTTCTTCTCGCTGTCACAATCACAAAGTAAGAACTCTCTCTCTCTCTCTCTCTCTCTCTCTCTCTCTCTCTCTCACACACACACACACACACACGCACACACACACTCAAAAACACACAGATGCACGCACGCATACTGGATCATTGCAAACCCTGTCTGTCAAATTCCTAAATACATTAAAATTATCATTGTGAATATGACGTGCACGTGCAGTAAAATACATTAATTGTGCTCAAAGTAAACCGCTGAGCGCAATATAACTCAAACACCTTCCAAACAAAGAGTTTGAACATTCGTCATTCGTATAATATGATAGTAATGTAGATCATTAACAATATTAAGCACCAAAGTGTCCCGCTTTCGAATACAGCTTTGCATGTACAGTGTATGCCCCATATCAGCCCCTATTATCGTTGTAAATGCTGTTGTAGTTGCATTGTTAACTTAATATGTTGGTTGTATGCGGGCTCAGCGTGGGCTTTCATAATTTCTGACTACAAGATTCACCGTAAACAAAATTATTATTATCATTATTGCGATGAAATGATTATTTTTTTACTGTTATCATTATTATTTGTTTCCTCATCATCATTCTTCTTTCTTTATTATTATTATTATTATTATTATTATTATTATTATTATTATTATTTCAGCGGAAGACATCGCCTCACTGGGGTACGTTGGAGTCCAGTTAGGTCTGCTACCTGGCTGGACGTACGAGAAGATAGGTATTCGCTGGAACCTGGTGATAGGGCTGGTACTGGGGACTGGAGGATACCTGTTCATCTTCTCTTCCACCTACCTGGCAGATTTCTACGGTAAAAACCACTGGCTGCTGGCTATGTACTTCTTTTTTGTAGGTTGGTATTATTATTATTATTATATTTTCAGGAAGGTTTATTTTTGTTATTATTACACTAAATCTTATAAGGGTAAAAGCATGGTAAATGTAAATGTCATCTCCCCAAGACCCCCATTTTAGTTACGACGTCTATTTAAGATAATCATTTCATAAAGGTACTGTGTTTTAATGTCTCCTAGATAAACAGTTGCATTTAAAGATATAGCTATGTACTGGAACTGAGAAAATCCATAGACCTATCCGGGTATATGGAGAAATACAATGCTTATTTATGGATTCATTCGCAAGGAACAGAATGTTGAAAAAATAAAATAGAAAGCAGTGTATGTTCCTACTCTGCTAATCTTTATTGCGTCATGACACTGGGGGAGGGATTGTAAGTTTTTGCTTTTCTTTTAATATAGGCTTTTATTTTTACACTTTTTGCCCGGCGTTTGAAACCTTTTCCAATAATGTTCAACGAATATTGGAATTATTTATTGACTACATTCTGTAGTGGTCCTATATTAATACAGTGAACTCGAGCCACAGAAAAAAAATTGTTGCCTTCATTACTTCTTAATAAATCACTTTATTTATTTATTTAAGGTCTGGGAGGCGTTTTCACGGGTCTAACTTCTATGACCCCAAACCTCGGCAACTTCCATGAGAACCACGGAGGGAAGATCATAGGCTTGCTTGACTCCGCCTTCAGCCTCGGTTCCACCTTAAGTGCTGCCACCTATGCTGCTGCGTTCATCAACGGCCATACGAACGGAGACGAGGCGAAACAGAATATTTCTGGCTATTTCATAATGCTGGCATCTGCGTCGTTGGTGATAAATGTACTTTGCATAATATTTGTTCGTGTAGTGCCCCTCAGTGAAAATGCTGGAAAGACACCAATGAGTGAAGTGTATTCGTCAAAGGAATTTCGTTATCACGAACTTGAAGTTATTAGTGATGCTGAAGACGAAAGTGACCTAGAATACGCGCAAGGAGAGTTGCCCAGTGAAAATCAAGGTCAAGGTCAAAGTGAAGGTGACACAGATAGAAGGATAAACGGCAATGACAGCAGAGAGGCTGTTACGATGGCGAGCGAAAAGACATTCCCGGCAATTTTGAAAGATTGGGACTTTCACTTCATTCTCTGGGTGTTTATGTTTTGTACTACTCTTCAGTTTATGGTCGTCAACAACATCACAGTCATCGTAAAAGCTGCAAACTTTGCATCACAAGCGGCCATCTTTCCTGTGCTTTCGCCAGTCGTAACCACGTTGACAAAATTTACTATGGGGGTAGTTTCAGACGCTCTCATCGCCAAAATCTCGCGGGATTCCATGCTGTTGGTGATAATCGTTATCCAAACTGTGACACTGATTGTGTGCTGTGTTATTCCGGAAGAGTTTGCTTCTCTTGTTGCTCTGACGCTGTCAGCGGCTGTAGCAAATGGGACAATATACTGTCTAACTCCACTACTACTGGTGGAACATTTTGGTCTGAAACACTTTGGTGTCAATTGGGGTTTCACTATGATGTTCAGCTCATTTGCCACTGTTGGTGTTCAAAAGGGGTTTGGGAAACTGTACGATTATTACGGGTATACGGCAAAGACAGGGGAGACCTTATGTTACGGGTCAAAATGCTTTCAACTGAGCCTCATAATTGCCGCTGTTTTAAGCGGGTGTGCGGTGTTGTTTAACGTCGCAATTGTTCAGAGGAGGAAAAGAATGGAAACGATACGACGAGAGGCTTAAAGGTATCTTATATGGGATTATCCTGACATATCTACCTTTGCTAAAAAGAAATAACAGAAATAAATGAATGAAACTCATATTTCACAATCACTGCTTGACCTGTTCCTGCACTTGGGTTCGATACGTTTTTTTTGTTGTGTCATTTCTAATTGCTTATTCTTATAAATATATATATTTTATTATCGATCTGTCACTTAAAACGCCTTTATCAGAATGAGATTAAGGGCGGAGACAAACTGCTCATGTATTCCGAGATGGTGAATTGCCATTAGAACGCCTAGCACTCTATTAATTCTCTGCCAGATTAACATAAATACAGTGTGTGGTAATATTAGACTATTTAACAAATCGTTTAACTTTCCATTGACGTTAACGTTACATTAGGTATATGGCGCATCTTGATGCCTATAATATTAAAATTTACCCAGGGTCTGCTTAATGTGGACTGAAGTTGGGCCTTGAGTAGCCGACACCGTTTAATCACATTTAAAGTGGGTCATTTCGAATTGGCTGAGGCTGTTATCGCAGCCTTCGCAGATGCCAAGGCGTTCATTGACTTCATTGCGCGTTAGACCTTATGTAGAGAAAAAAAATTACCCCAATTTTCAGCAACAGTCAATTTTTCACCAAGGTTTACCACATCCAAAACATGCTACCTTTCTTGTCAGATCCTCCTTATTTTAACTTTATTTGAATAAAAATCTTAATTAACTGATATAGGATTGACAAAACGGTTAAGAAAATGTGAAACAAGTGCAAAGAAGGGTAAATAGAAAGCGAAGGATGAAAAATCTCCCGTTTCCTTGTCTTGTCATTTCATGGGAGCGCTTTCCAATCCAAGAAGGCTAGTTATGCTATCCTGAAAACGGGATTTGAGTTTATTTGCATTTACCTGACCTTTTTGACCGCACTACAAGAAGTCCCGTGTCTCGCGTCTGATTAAGTAATCTTATCCAAGCACCACGTGTGGTGACAATGTGCGTATTAACGTACTGGCAGTTGTCAACAGCATATACTGGAAATAACACGTTTTGAGGCATTTGTCGACGAGGAAACTTGGAAGAACAATTCAAGAGGTATGTCCCTGTCATAGCTATTTTGTTTCAACCAGTTCACGGGCTCAGACTGTCTAAGGTCCAGGGCTGTATGTGTTTCACAGTTTAAAACGTTCTATATTGACGCCATTGCCTTCAATTAACTCTTTTGGGTGAGAAACCATAGTATTTTTAATCAACAATCTTCTTGAATAATGATTTACTAGCAAGTGAAAAGGACTACTAAGCTAGTATTTTTTTTCGTCAAAGCAATTAGGAAGTACAGCCAGTCCCAGGCCTTAGAGAGCCACCAACACCACTGATTCACTAAAATCCTGCACGTGCAAGGGTTCATTCCCATTGAAACTTTCGGTCCGTGTTTATCGATCCAACTCCGCGGGGACTCTCGCTGAATACAACTAATTTAACAGATTAACACGCCACTCATTGTCGATGAGAATAACACACACACGCTGGTGATTGTACGAGAACGTTGGAGACAAGATTAGGAATGTTAGTCTATAGTACTAATTGCATTTAGAGAAAGTACCCGTCGAGTTTGATCCATCTTCGTAGACCGACAGTTTCAATGGGAACAACCTCAATTTCTCTCAAATAACTACATTTATCTATGATAAGGCTCTTGCCTTTCTGAGATATCGATTATTCAATCTAAATCAATGTGTTACAACTACATTAATCATTGATTAATTCATAAATTTGGATATATATTTATACTGACTATTTTTTCCTTATTCCAACAAGGGCAATGACCGTTTTTAGAAGTACCAAACAACTAATATAAAAAATCAAGAACACTGATACAAGCTGTTTATTATTTGGACCAGTAACGTAGACATAGAAAAAGTCACATAACCTCGTAAACACCGGCACTGTGTACACAGTTGAGATTCCGTGGTCTTCACACGCAGTACCAGGGAGATATGATCTCTGTACATGTACTTTGACCATTTTCTACAGCTGTGGTCACCAGTTTTATTGTCATCTCAAGTCCTTGCCTCACTCCTTGATATCTCCTACCGTTTATATTTAGATGTTGATCTTTTCAACCGTTACTCCAAGTCAAGTCCACCATTTTTACATCATTTAACAGTTGATCGTCCCTCCACGGACAACATGGCGCCTAAAGCAACCTGGAAAACGGACAGCGTCTCGGAAAAGACATCGCTTATATTCTCCAACGAAGATGTTAAAAAGAAGACAGCACAATCCAGGAACGCTTTGGCTCAAGTTATCATCATCTCCATCGTGTACATGCTGGGGTACTCTCCCTTCATCACATTAATGAACTTGGAGGTGATACTGAACGCGGACATTGGCTCCTTTGTGATGCTCTGCGTCTTTTGCGGCACCCTGATCTCGTTTGCTACGGCGCCGTTCATTACCAGACTGCTGGGCGCCAAGGGCTCAGTTCTGGTGGGCTGGGTCGCCCATGCCGTCTTCGCCGCCGTCCACTTTTCACCAATATCAGAGATTTTACTGCCAGTGGCGGTGGTTGTCGGCATAGGTAGGTTGGGACGTTTTATATCTTTAATTAATTTTTTTGTCTTTCCTGCTCGAACGATAATACCGGTAACATTAATGTTATTTCTAAAAAATGGTATGTATTTGTGACTAATGTACATGTAGCAGTATGTCCTTCTTTTCAATTCTTGCAAACGAACAAAAAAAGGTTTTCTTGGTAAAAAATACGGTGTATGAATACTAGCACGTGAATCAGCTTATGAGTTTCTTTTGTTGGTGGGAAATACCTTTGATTGTCCGAAAGAGAGAGAGAGAGAATCGGCTTAAGATACCTCACTTTTCTTACACAAAGATTCCAGCTCTTTACCCCTTTACGTTACAATGTATACGTTTCTTTAACTGACCATCAATTTCAGCAACCATTCTTTGTGGATTAGCAAGATATTTTGTCATTAATTCTTCTACCACGTTTAAACTAATTCCTTTCCCCCCTCAGGTCACGCGCAGACCTGGATCACCCAGGGGGTGTATGTGGCCACCCTGGCCCTGGAGTACGCCTCGGCCACGGGGCAGCCTCAGGAGTCCGTCATGGGGCTCTTCAGCGGCATCTTTTTCACCATTAATACTTTTAACGGCGTCTGGGGGAACCTTATCTCCTCTCTGGTTCTAGTTAAACCAACGGACCCCGCTCTCAACTCTACGGAAATTATGACCGGAAATTTAAGCGAGTTATGCGGACCTGCGTTCTGTCCCTGGGAGGATACATCCGGGACCCACATCCGGGAACCTGACCAACTCGCCGTCACCATCGTTCTCTGCGCATTCATAGGTATGAATTTTTAATTTTTAATTTTGTTATTTTCCTCATTTTTGTTCTCTAAGAAATGCATGCTATGAAATTTATTTGTGTGATATTGTAATCTAGGAAATAAGCGATTTTCCCATTTGGGTTTAAAAAATGTTACACTACTATATGGGCAATAAAATGGAATCGTGGTAAGCACAACGAAAAACGTAATGGCAACTTTCATGCTGATATTTATGGCGGTAATTCTGGTATTAGTGCATGTGTCTTTTTCTCCAGGTCTGGACATTCTCGCGTTCCTCATAACTTCATTGTTTTTGAAAAACATCCACCCTGAGACCAGTGACTCTCTTCACAGCGCACTGGATTTCTGTGGCACGATTCTCAAGATGTGCCACGAGAAAAATCTTGTGTTCCTGCTGCTGCCATTTCTGTGGATCGGGTTTGAGATTGAGTTCATGATGACGGAGTTCACCAAGGCAGGTCAATATACATGTAGAGTTTTAGCCAGTCATGTATTCATTCTATTGTTTTTCTTTTTTTTCTTTCTTAATTCTTTTACTTATCTTTTAGCAATTTTCTATTACAGTAGGATAGGTACATGCTTACATGCCGGTTCAGTCTAATTATGAAAAAAGGTTCCGGTTAGTCAGAAATGGTAGTGTACTGGGGAATCGTAGTCTGCTGACCATCACTTTGTACGGGTGACATTCACTTAATAATCCGTCCCCTATTCCCAGCCTGACATGTATGGAACCCGGGCGCCCACTTCTAACTAGGACTTCCATTTCTGTCATACTGGGCTTACGTTAGTCCATGTAGATTAAATTGCCAACATTCAAACACTGAAGTCGTTTCTTTAAAACTGGCAATCGTTATGCGTATTCTATTTAAATTTGTGTCCTTGTGACAAATGGTTGTCGTTTGTTACCTTCCTGTTTATTTGGGCAGGTAGAAAACTAATTTTGACTTCTGTCGTTTTTTCACCAGGCCTTCGTCAGTTGTGAGATCGGCATCCATTTCAACGGCTGGAGTATGATGTGCTTTGCCGGCGGGACTATACTAGGTTCGGCTTTTACTGGGAGGATATTGAAGTAGGACTATATACACATCTTACCATATTTTCAACACAAAATTAGGATATGTTAAATTCTGAATAACTTTTAATCAATCATCCTGACCACAGAATATACGAAGACATAAGATTGATTGTAAATTATTGTAATTTTTACTCTTTACAGTTACACAATAAGTACATTTCCAATCAGTTCTAATTTTTTTCTGTTCTAATCTATTTTATCTATTTATTTGGATTTATTGTAATTTATTCTACTTGGAGCTTCTACCATCTTTTGTATATCTGTAGGTACGTGGGTTGGCCCATCATGTTTGCCGCAGCAGGGTCTTGCAATGTGGCTTGTCTTGCCGCCATGATGTTTTATGTTCCTTCTGAGCAGACGATGGAATTCTACCTTGTTATCCCGTTCGCCTGGGGACTTGCGGATTCCGTCTGGTATTGCCAAATGTCAGGTATATATTAGTATATCTTCTAAGACGTTAGTTATAAGAAAACGTTAAATATGTACATAATTAGAATAAGGCCCAGCATTATCACCTGTCCATTCTCAAATAGGTATCAAATTATTATTTTAAAATTGGTATCAAGTCCCGTTTCTCTCCAATTATTGTTTAATGTTTCAAATGTACATGTGGGTTTTATCATACCGTTTTTTATTATAAGATAAAAGTAAATAATTCGCCACCAATGTCACAATTAAATCAATACTTCATTATGTATATTTTCATTTCTACAAAAATGTTTCTTCTACATACAGTTTTCATCCTTATTCTGGAAGACCGAACAGTAATAAATAAGAGCCATTCAAAAATCTCTACATTACAATATCAGTAAATTCCTTTCAGCTCAAATATCCTAAATTTCCTGAACATCCTATATTTCCTAATAAAGATTCTATGATCTGTTTACTTCACAAATGAAAGTAACGTGTTTTTTCATCTGTTTATTTCAGCATATATTGGACATTATTTTCCCTCTCAGAAATGGCCAGTTTTTGTGACGATGAGAAACTCTATGAACGTAACTTTTGTGATAACATTCGCATACACCGCATTTATTTGCATGGAAGCCAAAATGTACATGACTCTGGCAATGATGTTCACATCACTGACTTCCTTTTATGTGTTTGAAGTGTTGCAGCGACGGAAAGCCAAGAAAGCAGGACCTACCTACACGTACATTGAGAAAACGTAGTCTTACATCAGTCTGTTTCATATTGAAATATTTATAAAAATATATTTTGATAATTAAATGTTTTAAAACAATAAATGTATATAAATGTATATATTTTGTTGTTCACTGAGTGCATTTCAAATTAAATCTATGCCACTTCTATCATTATAGGTCTCCACTCTTGGTCTCCTATTTCCCCAATCATAAATTCTAGATCTTATATTAACAACTAAAATATTACGGTTGTTTTAAACACAAGAGCTTTATTGCAGATCACGTGAATGTCAATCATTTTCAATTGTACAGTTCGATTAATTTTGTTGCACAGAATTCTCCCGGAAAGGGAAAAGTTTAAAATTCCAAACCTCTGATGTGAATTAAAGGTTTCTAAAATTAAAGTATGCGCATACAATAATTTTGTAACAGACTACTTACGTACCCTGTGTTCAGAGAGCATTAAATTCAAGGAAAGTTTCACTGTTCCTATTAATATTTAACGTCCGTTGTGTTTTATTCCGGCATAATTTCAAGATACTTTGATACCTATTTGGTGTATTTATATTTATTGATATATTATTTACCCTGCGGCTGTGGTTAAAGCGCTGACCTGTCAGATGGTTATTACATGTGCTCTTTATCGTGTTGGAAATAGGTCTTACCATGCATAATCAGCCTGCACTTTGCACAATGTGCCCCACCACCTGCCGTGTACGACGATGCGAACTCACCAACTATTCTTATCGTATATATTTCAATGTATATGGCACACGTATATAGCAAGATGATCGCAATGATATCGCTCTCCTTATACAACCCCGGCTGAAATACTACGAGAGATCGAACTACATGACACTTACTTGTACCGTCTATGCTGTAATCAGCTGATTGTGGTGGAAATGTCCAGCGATTAAGAAATCTAGATTACAACCGCTGCACTATAACAGCTGTGTACAGGTGGGATTGAGAAGCAATCTGATTGACATTGAACCCAGTCTGCGACCTTAGGCTCAAGACCGACACAAATAACCTGTGGGTTTAGCGTCGGAATTTTTTAAAGGTACTTTTCCTAGTGGTTGTTTGGCAGAATATTTTTCTATGTTCTCTTGATTTAATCTTCAATGTAGTTCATTTTAATTCAGACCAGTGCCGTTCCAGGGACTTGCGATCTACTTTATTTGAAGGGTTGAACATTCTAAAGTCAAGGCAGATTTCTGAAGTCTTTGCTAAAGCCGACTTAAGACCAAAGTCAGTTTGTGAAATCGTCCCCCTGGACACCATAATCCACCATGGCGCCGAACGCTGCCCTGAAAGCCTCCGAAGACTCGGAGAAATCCGTGCTCCTCTTCTCTAATGAAGAAATCAGGAAGAAGAAATCAAAAGCCAGGGACGCGTTCATCCAAGTTATCATAATCTCTATAGTCTATATGTTAGGATACTCCCCCTTTATCACACTGATGAACTTAGAGGTGATCCTTAATGCAGAAATTGGTTCCTTCGTGATGCTCTGTGTTTTCTGTGGCACCTTGGTCTCCTTTGGAACAGCGCCAATCATCACGAGACTTATTGGCGCCAAAGGCTCCGTCCTGTTTGGCTGGATTGTACACGCCATCTTCGCCGCCGTCCATTTCTCACCAGTAGCTGAAGTGCTTCTGCCTGTTGGGATTTTTGTTGGAATTGGTAAGCTCTGAGGTTTCTGTTCCTTCCCTTAGTTTTCATTGTTTTTGCAAGATTTACATTCTCCTAAATGCAAAGAACTTAAGCCATTTTACATCTTCAGAAATTAATGGATTTTTTACCCCTGTTCCTTTTCAACGGTGGTACAATGAATTTAATTTAAAAAATCAACAGTTTCTCAGCTGAATATATTTAAGAACCTCGGCAATATTGGTGTTGTATCTTTTAAATTTCTTTATAAACAATATATTGCAATGACATCATTTTCTCTAGGCCACGCCCAAGCCTGGGTAACTCAGGGTGTGTATGTGGCTACCCTGGCCCTGGAGTACGCCTCGGCCACCGGGCAGCCCCAGGAGTCCGTCATGGGGCTCTTCAGTGGCATATTCTTCACCATTAACACCTTCAACGGCGTCTGGGGGAACCTGGTGTCCTCTCTGGTACTCATTAAGCCACAAGACGCCATGGGGAACAGCTCGGACCTGACAGAGAACTTAACAGGTCTTTGTGGTCTCGAATTCTGTCCGTGGGAGGATACATCCGGGACCTACATCCGGGAACCTGACGAGCTTTCTGTGACTATAGTCCTTTGTGCGTTCATAGGTGTGTACATGTGGCCCTCTTATTGAAAGAAATAACTATACTTACGAGTCTTTTTTTCTGCTTCACTGAAGAATTTTTGTACAGTCTTGTTATTAAGTTACTAGAATATAAATGAGAATTCACTTTTGTCAGAAGTGCGTACTATTTCAAAACAAAACAGATTTAAGAAAAAAAGAGAAGGCGTTTCTATGCGATTTGGTTCCTCTTAATCCTTTCCTCAATATTAACATAAACTTAGCTACAGGTGGGTTTTCAGATATTTTTACCAACGTATTTCTTTTACAATTGATTTGAAATCCAATAAACATTTTTGTTTATTATTTTGGCTTGTAGGTCTGGACCTGTTGGCGTTCTTCATAGCTCTATTTTTCCTCAAAAATGTCCACCCAGAGACCGGGGACTCTCTGCACAGCGCAGTGGATTTCTGCGGCACCATCTTGAAAATGTGCTACGAGAAAAACCTGGCATTTTTATTATTACCATTCATGTGGATTGGGTTCGAGATTCAGTTCATGATGACGGAATTTACCACAGTAGGCCAACGCCCACCCGAAATACCCTTTATTTAGGTCAAACGCACTAGAGCGACTCACAAACTGTTTTTGTCGCAGTGATCTAAGATACTGTAATAATAATAATAATAATACTAATGTCAATATGATACTTGACGGTTAGTTTCCATTTTTACATCATTTGTCTTTTATCTGATTTTCAGCGCTCTTTTTTATCAGGCCTAAAAACGCCCGATTTTCCCTTTACGTGGTTAATCTAAATAGTAGTTTCAATCAACCAAATTCTGTGAATATCAATGACATAATATTTTCGTTATCCTTTTTCAGGCATTCGTCAGCTGTGAAATCGGAATAGAATACAACGGTTGGAGTATGATATGCTTCGCTGGGGGTACTATAGTAGGATCAGCAATAACCGGACGAACGCTACGGTAATTATTTCCAACTTTCCCATTTGTTATATTTTGCACCCTCGATATAATGATCATCTAAACCTAATGTTTTTATGTCACTTCTACATATTTTAAATTGCACTATTATAGAGTTGAAACATACATATAGTGTCCACATCACATAAAAGATTTGAAAGAAATGAGATCTCGCAAAAACTTTTTTCAAAGTCTTGTAAAGTAATGCCTCTCGTTTCATCATATGTGTAGGACAATTTATACCATTTCAACTTTCCAGGTATGTCGGTTGGCCTGTCATGTTTGCCATTGCCACGGCGTGTAACTTGGCCTGTCTTGCCGCCATGGTGTTTTTTGCACCATCAGAGCAGACGATCGAGTTTTACCTCCTAATTCCGGTAGCTTGGGGGCTTGCGGATTCCGTTTGGTTCTGTCAAATGTCTGGTGAGATTAAGTAATGTGTTATTTGCTGAACAACCTGATTCAAAGTTAATTCAGTCAAGTTGATAAATTCAGCACCATCATAATAAGCTACAGCATACATAATTATTTTCTTTGAACAAATAATGAGATATTATCTTTTTAAACATACTGTAATTTTGCTCTTTTTTCAGCTTACATCGGCCATTACTTTCCACAGCAAAAATGGCCGGTATACGTCACAATGCGAAACTTCATAAACGTCATGTACGTCATCCTATTTGGCTATACGTCATTTGTATGCATGGACGCGAAGGTTTACATTACCATCAGCATGGTGCTGCTGTCATTAGCCTCGTTTTACACGTTTGAGGGTCGGAGAAAACGGAAGGACGCTAAAGAACTTTTGAAAAATGGACCTACTTATTTGCGCATTGGAAAACAATAAACGCTTGAAAAGCTGTCGGGAGTTAAGAAGGGAATGCGCCTGGTGCTTTACTGCGCATGGGCAAAACGGTCATCTTACGCAGATCTGTCGATACAGTGACAACAAAATGACAACCCTCTATATGCAGACTTTGACGTTCTATGTTATTGTTTGTCAGTGGCGGATATTTAAGATTTTTTAATGATTTCAAATCGAACTGAAAATATTTTTGTGAAAGTAAAATGTTCAATAAAATGTTGGTGTTCATCGGCGTTGCACATTCTAAAACTTATAGAAACTATAATAATTCTCGTACATTAATCATTTTGGAATAACCGTTTAGTTTGTTGAATCTCCCAATCAACATAATTATAAATTATATGTTATATAAATGTTGATAAATAGAAGTACACAACATAATAAATGATGCATGTGGAACATGCGGTACGATTTCTGTATACACTTAAGTGCACAATGTATGTGAATTGAATGTAAAAATGACAAAAGCATTTCAATATGCTTGGAAATTAAGCTCATACGAGTTTATAAAAATACCAGAGTAAATGCTTCCAAAATAGGACATTTGTATCAAAACATTTCTAAATCTGACACAGATTGTGGTAAACAGATCAGAGGTAGAGACATAGGCAGGAGCAACCGCTCTTGGTGCTATCTCAGACAAATATTTACCCACTAGTTAATATCTAAACCAACCGGGTTAGATTAACACACTTGGTGCATTTCCATGGTCGTCTCTTACAGATGAAGAGACGTCTGTCCAGGGTTGATTGCAGAAAGGTTCACATTGTGTCGTGAGACAGACAGACAGCACGTGCCCCTGACAGTGCGAAGCAAGACCATCAGTCAACGCGCTCGTTTTTTGTTTAAACAGCTCTCTTTTCAACACAGCTAACAGTTAACTCGGCCTGCATGTATGGGATGTATTTTACAGGTCGAATGAAGTAAAAAAAGATGAGGCTGATCTGATCGATGGTTAAATTGCCTTGGAGATATTTACTTGTACACAAGGGTTCCTTTGATCTTTGAAAGTACTTTATGACAACCACATCCGATATATATGTAACACTAGACTGAGGAGTCACAATGGAAGTAAAACATACCGGAATGGATAGGGAGAATAAGTCAGTTACAAGAAGCAACGACGTATACCAAGAAGACGATGGAGAAAGCACACCTCTTCTGGGTAAAAGTGATCAGCGCGTTCAGCTGTCCAAATGGAAACCTTTGTCACAGCTGGTTGTTCTTGCAGTCGTGTACATGTTAGGGTACTCCCCGTTGTCAACTTTATTAAATTTAGAAAGAATATTGTATCCAGACATAGGCATCTATGCTTTAGTGTGTAACTTTGGAGGATCTATATGTTCCTTAGTGACTGCATCAGTGATTGCCAAACATCTTGGGGCAAAGGGATCTGTTCTTCTAGGCTGGGTTTGCCAAGCAGTATTCATTGCGGCACATTTCTATATGGAACCTTATGTCATTCTGCCAGTTGCTTTCCTGGTTGGAATAGGTAAATACATGATAAACTAATGTTGACACTTGTGTGACGTGTAGACCATTTAGATAATAAGCAGCGCATTCAATGCAGACTTTTTTCATTCTTGAGTTTTTTATCCATATCCTTACTCTTTGCCTCTCTCTCTCTCTCTCTCTCTCTCTCCATGCACCCTCTAACTTCTCTATCCACACTAATATACCGGTATATGTTCCAGGACACGCTCAGGCTTGGATAACCAACGCTGTCTTTGTTACCGCGCTGGGTCTTCAGTACTCTGAAATCACCGGCCGCCCTCAAGGTGAAGTCATGGGCATGTTCCAGGGAATATTCTTCGCAATCTTTCAATTTAATGGCATCTGGGGCAATCTGATCTCCGCTCTCGTGTTGAACAGCCCAGCAGACGACACAACTGGTAATGGGAGCACCTCCCATGCGCAAGGCGGGAACTTGAGCGCGCTTTGCGGAAGTAATTTCTGTCCTTGGGAAGATACATCCGGGACGTACATCACACAACCCGATCAGTACGTGATTTATATAATCCTTGGGTGTTTCCTAGGATTGGTGGGATCGGCCTTTGTGATAGCACTATTATTTTTGAAGGACGTGAAATCAACGACAGGGGATTCCCTTCACAGCTTAGGAGCTTTTCTGGTGACTGTTTGGCGACTGATATTTAAACGGAAGATGGGTCTTATTCTGCCAGCATTTATGTTCGTGGCAATTGGGCAGACTATGATTCTCACGGAGTTTATCACAGTAGGTATCTTATGATATTGGTTGTATTGGATTCTAAAGGGCGGATTACATTTTAACCTCTGTATTTACCACAGCACATAAATCAGACAATATTTCCCCATAACTTAATTTTTTGCTGTCATTGTCATCTTTACCACAAACGTGGGGAAAGGATTTACAAGGCTTTCCCTTCTCTCTTTTTTTAAAGGCAATCGGAAGAAGAAATGTCCTTCAGTTCATTTGTATTGAATAATGTTTGGTTTGTTCTGGATTTTGAAGCATTTCTTTTAAATTTGCAGGCTTTTGTAAGCTGCGAAATTGGTATACAATACAATGGCTGGACGGCCATGTTCTACAGCGGAGGTCTAATCTTGGGTTCGACCTTGACCTCTCGTCTCGTGAAGCACGTGGGCTGGGTAACCTTGTTTGTATTCGCCGCCTGCTGTAACGCTGCGTGTCTGCTGAGTATGCTGTTTTATGAACCGTCTGGTTTTGATTCACTGTGGTTCTACTTCCTGATACCGTTTGTGTCTGCACTGGGAGACGCGCAGTGGCTTGCTACAGCATCTGGTGAGAAGTTATTACACTTTTGTTTTTTTCCTATCATCGAAACTAGATATCAATCTTTTTATTTATTATTATTAATATTATTGTCTTTATTGTATATTATTTCCTTTATTCATTTTCGTATTTGCATTTAATATAACTGTGTCGATTAACATAGTGACATATATTGAGTTATAAAAATTCAATTTAAATGCAAATTAAATTAGATGGGAAATTAAAAAAAAAAAACGGCTCAAAATTCTGGTATATTCTCTTATTCATTCCTTTATCTTTGCGGTATCTGTTTTAATATTTGTTAACATGTCCTTGCTCCGTGAACATTATTATTAGTATTTATTATTCTTTTCATTTTTCAGCTTACGTGGGCCACGTGTTTCCGGATCAGAAGTGGCCTGTCTTTGTCACAGTGCGGAGTTTCATCTATGTAACGTTCTCGCTGGTGTATGCTTACTCAAACTTTGCATGTATGGATACAAAAGTATACGTAATGCTGGGAGTTGTAGGCATGGCCCTTCTGCTGTCTATTATCTTTCTTGGGATAACTAAAAATTGGCATAAAAGTCAAAACACACAAAAAATTAAATTGTAAACTGTAATTTAAATCTAAAGACTAATTATTAATAAAAGAAATACTAATGAGAAGATAAGTGTGGTTTTCCAAATTATGTGCAAAGGTTCTTATGGACTCTGCAAATAAGGGCTTTAAAAGGTTATATTTATCCTGAAAGCTATTTTAAATAGTGTCTATAATCTGAAAATCTCCAAAATATCATAAGAGGACAATGCTTTCACAACTGTTGAAACCTATGTGAACTGTATGCCTTCTTTGAAACCTCATTTTATTTATGTACTTCTTTAGATACTTATCTTTTTTAAAAGAAAAACTCATGTGTGCTACGCGAGTGGTGTCAAATGCCTCAAAGTCAAGAGACCACATATCAGACCCTACGTTATATATATATATATATATATATATATATATATATATATATATATATATAAAAGGCTTCCTACATGCATTTGTGGTCATAAACGATAATATGCCGTCCAATCTTTAAATATGTGAGTGCTTATTTGTGTGTGTGTGTGTGTGTGTGTGTGTGTGTGTGTAACTAAAATTGAGAGATACGGTTGTAAGGACATGCATGTGGCATATACTGTACATGTATATTGAGTTTCAAAGCTTGTCTTCCACGACCTAAACATAGGGTACCTGTACATGTGAAAGCCGCAGCTGTCTAAAAAAAACTGTCACGCAGTTTTAGTTACCGAATTTTACCGAAGTTTTCCGAATGTTACCTAATTTCACACTCAGTGTACAGATGCCATTTGACCTGAGGTTGGCCTGAAGTCCAGAAGGAGTGACCGAATCAACTGATCAGTGTGTAAAGAGTAACAGGCTATCGCTTTTGTGTAACGTGCACAAAGAGATATATACATGTATACATGGGTTCAGTTCAATCTTTGACATTAGTTCAGGTCACCGGCATCCAATAGATAACACTAACACGCCAACTCAGCATTATGAATATTAGGAAATCGTAATGGAAGAAAAACAAGCCGTAAAACAGCAGGGCAATAATTGCATTACAAGAGTCAACGAGGTTAACCAAGGAGACGACACAGAAAGCACACCTTTTACGAAAACAAGTGACGAGCGCGTTCAGCTGTCCAAATGGCAACCTCTCTCACAACTGTTTGTTCTTGCAGTCGTGTATATGTTGGGGTACTCCCCACTGGCAACTTTATTAAATTTAGAAAGAGTATTGAATCCAGAAATAGGCATCTATGCTTTAATGTGCATCTTTGGAGGCTCCGTATGTTCCATAGTGACTGCACCTGTGATTGCCAAACATCTTGGGGCAAAGGGATCTGTCCTTCTAGGATGGTTTTGCCAAGCTCTGTTTATTGGGGCACATTTCTACATGGTGCCTTATGTCATTCTGCCGGTTGCTTTCCTGGTTGGAATAGGTAAGCACTGGGTAAACTTATGACTCCTTTAACATTAAAGGTTTCAAAACCGTAGCGGGCATATCGTGTGATAATCGTGTGATATCGCCTTCCCTTTCTCCTGGTCTGTCTCTCTGTCTTTCTGCGTTGAATAGTTATAAAAATACATACGGGGATGTTGGTTAATTCTTTACACTCGCTCTCTCCCTCTCTGTGCGTGTGTGTGTGTGTTCTCTAACCTCTGTATCTACACTTATAAATTTGTTTCAGGACACGCTCAGAATTGGATAACCAACGCTGTCTTTGTTACCGCGCTGGGACTTCAGTACTCTGAAATCACCGGCCGCCCTCAAGGTGAAGTCATGGGCATGTTCCAGGGAATATTCTTTACAATCTTTCAATTTAGTGGCATGTGGGGCAACCTGGTCTCCGCTCTCGTGTTAAATAGCCCAGCAGACGACACATCTGGTAATGGGAGCACCTCTCATGCTCAAGGCGGGAACTTGAGCGCGCTTTGTGGAAGTAATTTTTGTCCTTGGGAGGATACATCCGGGACTTATATCACACAACCGGATCAGCACGTGGTTTATATAATCCTTGGCTGTTTCCTAGGATTGGTGGGATCGGCCTTTGTGATAGCACTTATATTTTTGAAGGACGTGAAATCAACGGCAGGGGATTCTCTTCACAGCTTAAGAGATTTTCTTGGGACTATTGGACGACTTATTTTTAAGCAGAAAATGGCGCTCATGCTGCCAGCATTTATGCTGGTGCCAGCTGGACAGACTTTTATTCTTACAGAGTTTATCACAGTAGGTATCTTTTATACAGTTGGATAGTTTTTGTATATGTTTATGCTGTTGACGTGTTTTTTTTTATCTGATTCCGAAAAGCAGATGACATTATTNTGGTAATGGGAGCACCTCTCATGCTCAAGGCGGGAACTTGAGCGCGCTTTGTGGAAGTAATTTTTGTCCTTGGGAGGATACATCCGGGACTTACATCACACAACCGGATCAGCACGTGGTTTATATCATCCTTGGCTGTTTCCTAGGATTGGTGGGATCGGCCTTTGTGATAGCACTTATATTTTTGAAGGACGTGAAATCAACGGCAGGGGATTCTCTTCACAGCTTAAGAGATTTTCTTGGGACTATTGGACGACTTATTTTTAAGCAGAAAATGGCGCTCATGCTGCCAGCATTTATGCTGGTGCCAGCTGGACAGACTTTTATTCTTACAGAGTTTATCACAGTAGGTATCTTTTATACAGTTGGATAGTTTTTGTATATGTTTATGCTGTTGACGTGTTTTTTTTATCTGATTCCGAAAAGCAGATGACATTATTAGCAAATTATTAATGATAGCCAAATAATTACTACTCCATTATTAACATACATTTGCTTTTGTCTTAACAACAATACTAGAAGATAAAAAGAAATGCAGTACTATCACATATATTCTTGTTTTTATAAAGTCGATGAGGAGTATAGATACTGTTCAATCCATTTATAAATTCTTGATTTTTACTGATTTTTGAAGAAATGTCCTTCAGTTCATTTGTATTGAATAATGGGTGCTTTGTTCTGGATTTTGAAGCATTTCTTTTAAATTTGCAGGCTTTTGTAAGCTGCGAAATTGGTATACAATACAACGGTTGGTCGGCCATGTTCTTCTACGGAGGTCTAATCTTGGGTTCAGCCTTGACCTCTCGTCTCGTGAAGCACGTGGGCTGGGTAACCTTGTTTGTATTTGGCGCCTGCTGTAACGTTGCATGTATGCTGAGTATGCTGTTTTATGAACCGTCTGGTTTTGATTCACTGGGGTTCTATTTTCTGATACCGTTTGTGTCTGCACTGGGTGACGTGCAGTGGCTAGTGACGGCTTCTGGTGAGGAACTTTTCACATTGTGGGCATTTTTTAAATCTTCTTTTCCTGACACCAGATACCGCATTTACAAGCCTTAATTTCATATTATTATTAATGCAGTCGATTTTTCATTTTCATTTAATATGATTGTGCGGGATTAGTGATAATTTGCCTAATATTTATCAAGTAGCTGCTGTTAGATTTAGGATAAGACTACATTACAGCATCTTTCACTTTTATTGAGACGCATGCGTGAAAGCAAAAGTAATTGCTATTTATTTTTCTTTTTATTTTTCAGCTTACGTGGGCCACGTGTTTCCGGATCAGAAGTGGCCTGTCTTTGTCACAGTGCGCAGCGCCATGTATGTAGCCTATGCGCTGGTGTATGCTTATTCAAACTTTGCATGTACCTATACAAAAGTATACGCAATGCTGGTGTTTGTAGGCCTGTCCCTTCTTCTGTCTCTCACCTTTTTAGGGATAACCAGAAATTGGCAGGAAAGTCAAAACACAAAAATTAAATTGTAAACTGTGATATTTTTCATATCAAATTCTCAAAGAAGAAAGTAGTAGTAACAGGTAAATTGTCGTTTTTTTTTTTTTAAGTCTGTTTCCCCAAGTTCGTACTGGTATTCCCTCTGCAAGAAACGACATTTAAAGATGCATTTAAAGTCTATTTTTGCCAAAAAGCCGACCCCTGTGAAGTTGATTCCTGGTTCCTTATTCCTTATTCGGTTACTTATTCAAATGTGAAGTTGGTTACTTATTCCCGGTTCCTTATTCGGTTACTTATTCAACTTTTTTATGTTTTTTTTTATGATTTTGATGCTAAAATACCTGTTTCATCATACTAGCACCCCCTCTTCATCTAGATGACACCCTAAAATTGTTAAATATACCACTAAAAACACAAAATATAACCCATTCCTTATTCAAAAGTCCTGTTACTTATTCGGTTACTTATTCCTTATTCGGTTACTTATTC